AAAATGCAAAGTGCCACAAATCTGCTGCAAAATTAAAATACCACTGAAAATATCATAAAAACATCTAAAAATCAATAGCTCTTCTGTTTTCCATAGAATTGTATATACATTTCCACACAGTGTTCTACAGCGACAGGACAGTGATCTGTTGAGAGGTTGAAAACAGAACATAGCTATGTTTTAACATGCTACTGTTGTAACTGCAGTACAGTGCTGTGTCTGAACATTTTTTACTGTATATTTTCAACAACTCGTTTTCGAAAGTCAGTCAGGTTTTTATCAAAACATCAAAACATTTGGCATCCAAGTCTTGAAGCTCTGCAGCATCAGCTGTAGTAAATAAAGATTGTATCATTTACTAGGCAAAGAATTATGTCTCTATTTCTTCTGCAATTAAATTTAGGGAAAGGAAATATAATAATAGTTTTATATTATTATCATATCAATCATATGGTCAATAGTAATAATAATAAATTATTCTATTAAGAAGTTCTAAGAATAATATATAATATTATTTCTGAGAACTTAAAAAGGAAGAGAGTCACTCATTATAGTTATCAACGAATTACTTGCGTGGTATAACAACACAGATCTCATCTGTCTGAGAAAATGTTTTGAATGTTAAGGGGAAACAGCAGTTAGAAGACTAACTTCCTTACTGCAGTTAAAAAATAGGAACTCATAGGAATTCATGTCTATTTTTCCATCTTTAACTGGTCATACACTGCTCTCCTTGCTTGTCCTGACAGCATGCCACTACTACACAGAACAGACTTCTTCAGCAGCCTTTACATTTATGGTGGGTATCTGGCTCACTTCTTCCTCTCCTGTCATCCTGCAACAACACAGGGAGGCCAGCAGCTTGTCTGCAGCCCCTTTCCTCATGAAAACATACAGAACCAAGTCTGTAAGAGGACTGAACTGAAGGAATGATAAGTATAAGTGTGAATCATTGGCAATGTAGTGTAAACAAAGGTAGCTATCAGTCCAGTCAGTATATATTTAAATATCTGAACATTTTATTGCATCATAATTCATTCAGGTGCTCTACAAGGAATCTGTGTATCTATGTTGTATCCCAGGTATCTGGTCATCGCCTGGCCGCTGTGGTACCGCTTCAGACGAACATCAAGAACTCTGTAGTGGTCTGTGTCGTGGTCTGGACCTTCCTCTTTTGTCTCTAAGTCTGGTTTCGTTTTCATTTCGTGCTAATTACCATTGCAGTCTTCTTTGAGAAAGAGAGAAAAACAGATGAAGAAATGGAGGAAAGAGAGACGAGACAGTTTCTGGCGTCTTCTCACTTGATTTCCTACAAGACATCTAACTGTAGGTTCACTTGCTGCGGTGCACTGTGAAAGCTTCAAGACATGTACATAAAATGTTCTATAAAAAGTTCATGTATATCATTATTACACTTTAATCACAAAAACAAACCTTATATTATTTGAAGATAATCAGCAGCATTGTAATAGGTCTGTCCAAAACACTTGTCTTTGTCTTTATACAGACCTGACGAACAACCCATTGCTGTCTGGAAGCGACTCAATGACTCTCTCCATATCCCAAGAGTTTCTGGGAGCAGAGTCATCCACCAGGAGAACAATGTCCCAAGGACTGAAGTTTCTTGATGGTCTTGACCGTCTTCGCCGTGTGTGAAGCTGTGGCAAGTACTCCTTAGTCCGACGTTTCCACAATAGTTTGGCAATATACTGAACCTGCCTCCATATTCATTGAGTGTAGAGGTCATCCTGGTGAAACAATGCGGGTGGTAATGCTGGTTTGGCCTTCAGCAGTAATAGGTGATTTGGTGTGAAGGCTTTTAAGATCGTTCCGATCATTAGATGCACTTGTGATTGGTTGACTGTTTATTATGGCTTCGACTTGGCAAAGTCCAGTCTGAAGACTTTCCTCATCAAGAATTTGTTCCTTCAGAGTGGAATTTAGAGCCTTCCTCACTGATTTGATGAGCCTTTCCCAGGCTTGTCCGTGGTGAGAGCCTGTTGATGGATTAAAGGTCCATTTGATTCCACGTTGAAGAAGGTAACCTTGAATCTTTGCGTGATTCATCTCATCGATGGATGTCTTCAGCTCACGTTCTGTCCCAACAAAGTTCGTCCCATTATCTGAGCAAATCACCAACATTTGTCCTCTCCTGGCTATGAAAAAACATATGGCGTTGATACACAAGTCGATATCCAAGGAAGAAGCAACTTCAGTATGCACTGCCCGTGTGGCTAAGCAGGTAAAGATTGCTCTGGATCTTTTTATTGTGCTTCTGCCTCGTTTCACTGTAAATGGTCCAAAATAATCAACGCCATTGCTGCGCTGGCGCTGGGATTCCAATACTTTTGTCGCACTTTTGATAGCATATGGTTCCTTCCTACATGTCCTGTGGCTTCATGAATCTTGTGCAGGAGTTAGTTGGGGACGTGATGGTCTTTGGGGATTACGACAGGCTTCTTACAGTCCTCTGGCAAAGCAGCTCGACTGAGTCTTCCTCCAACACGTAAGACTCCATCTTGAAACACAGGGTTTAGCCTAAAGAGTTCTCAGTAAGATGCATGTTTTCCTTCCACAAGAAAAGCATGTTTCTACTGTTTTATTTCCTGTTGTCTTGACTTGGACAGGAACTATTGAGAGTATACACTCGTCTTCACTGGCCCCCGTACCTTCATCACTGACCATTGTACTGGTGACTGCAGGACTAACACGATTAGCTGTATTGTCAGCGACCTTGCTTTCCTGTTCATCTCCTTCATTGTGTCTTTTCATGTGCAGGAGTGTGGGATGCATTAATGAACACACCTGACAGGACAGCTTCTCATTGCAGGTCTTGCTCATGTGTCCATGCCTTAAACAGCTGATGCATCGTCCTTTGCTACGTAAAAAGTCAATTTTTTCTTTGTGTGGCTTTCATTTCAGATTTTTTTACATTTGTCTATGCAGTGTTCTCCTTTACAAAACATGCATGGTCTTACCATAGCACCTTGTGAGGGACTCTTTTGCATGCTTCACTCACTGTCTTTCACTGAGTCTTTAACTCTATGGTCAGTGTGCATTGTGCTTGTGGTGAATGTTTTCTTACTTCGTTTTTCCTGTGTCTTTAACTCTGCATGCACCTTTGTAGCTGATTTAATGGATGGGCTGTCCTTCATGTCACCAAAAATAGGATGCATAACAATCTTGGCTTGTCTGTGAATAAAGTCAACAAGGTCTTTAAAGCTGATCTTTTTCCCCTGCTGTTCCTGGATGTCACACGCAATTATCCTCCATTTTTCTCTCAATTTGTAAGGTAGCCTTGTGACAATGGCCTTCATGTGCATTGCAGCATTGTTCATTTCTTCCAAGTAGCTAATGTCCATCATTGCGTTGCAGCATCCAGTCAGGAAAAGTGAGTAAGCCTTTAATGATTCTCCATTCTCAGGTTTGATGGGGGCCCAATGTAAGGCTTTGTCCATATAAGCCACAGCAAGCTTGTTTTTGTTTGCGAAATGTTCTTTCAGTAGCTGCTTGGTTTTCTTGTATCCTCTGTCAGGATCCATGCAGAGACAGCTCCTGACCAGCTCTCTGGGTTGACCACTAGTAAACTGCTCCATATAGTAGAGACAGTCCTTAGCACTGACGGTGCGATGCTGTACTCTATGCTCAAAAGCTCTTATAAAAAGTCTGTAATCAAGCAGGTCTCTTTTAAAGGTGGGAATGTCCAATGGCGGAAAAGTAAATCATCTGTGCTGTTTCATCATTAGTTCTGAAATGTTAGCTTGCTGCTGCATAACGCTAGACAATGTCTTCACAACATTGTCCTTATTATTAGTGATCCTAGGTGGCTGCGCAGAATGACCAGGTTTGCTTGATTGTGTGTTATGAAGCTGGACTGGAACAGTCACCACACAGCTGCATTGCTCATGTCTGGCTTTTGGTGCAGGGCCTTCTATTTCCACACTTGCTTCTTGTGTTGAACTTACTGTAGACCTGCGCTCAATCTCAAACTCTTCCAACATTTTAAATTAAGCCTCAGATGCTGCTATGGCAGTATTACACGCCAAGTCTTCTTTTTTAGCCTTTAATTCAGCTTCTTGCCGTTCCAATGCTTGTTTTTGTTTTAATGCAGCAGCCTTGGCCAGCAATGCAACTCTTTCCATAAGGCGGATTGATGAAGTTGAGGATGACACAGAACTCAAACTTCTAGATCCACTTCCTTCACATTTTCTGCTTGTAGCAGATGATGGAAACACTGTCTGAAGGTTTCACTTCTTTGTCATATATCATTGCTTGCTTAACTCTTTCCTCAACCAACTCCATCCATTTTTCAGTTTTTGCAATGAAACTGTTTGCCTCTTGCATTTTAGGTTTGAACCAAGTTATCTGAGCCTCCTTCAATTCCTCTTTTGTATAGAACTGTTTCAGAGAATTATTTTACTCTCCAAATTTTCTGACCAACTCCTGGTAATCAACTCTGTTTTTCTTTAGCAGTACTAACATTAGCATCCTCTCCCTGAAGTTCTTCTATCTCCCTCATTTTGCCTGTAACCTGAGCTAGCTTACTCCTTCTTTGCTGTATAAGCTTATTCTTTGCTTGCTCTACAGCTTTTTCTGTCATTTTCACTTGCCTTTTGTCAGTGACAAACTGTTCTTCCTGTCTTTCCATTATAGCGTTTAAATCTGGCTCCTTTTTGCTTCACAGTAATTTCTGAAACACTGTTAATGCATTTTATCCAGGTGAACTTGATTGACAGATCCCAGAGTCACGCTATCAGCAGACACAACCCTCACTGCTAGCTGACCAGAGTCTCTTGGCATAATCCACTCGTTATTCCAAAGGTCAAGCAACCAAGCAAGTTTTTCCAACTAATGTAGGAGCCAAAACTTGTAGCAGAGTGAAAACCTTAAGTCAACACGTATTTCTGATCCTATCCACACAGCTCACACCAACACCCCTGGTAGATGAAAGCAAAAAAGGGTTTTTAATGATCCAATNTCTGTTCTCTGGTGAGTACATGATGACTGAGAAAGTAGGAACCAATGAGAGTTTGATGAAAAATACATCTGACTGCAAATGTTGAGCAGAGTAAGATGACAACGTGTCATCAGCAAAGATCATGATTTTTTCTACCAATGTTTTCCTGCAGGTCAGAAACGATCACGTGGCTCCGATCTACATCATCAACCTTCTGATTTCTGACCTCATTCAACTCTGCTGCATGATCGTTGAAGTGGTACGACTTGAGATTTGGAGAATAAGCTTCAATGTTATATTCTATATTGCTCTGATGGCGAGTGTTGGCTTCATGGTGTGTGTCGCCATGGAAAGGTAGCTATCAGTTTATTCAGTATTTGTGTAGCTACATGTCTGACCTTTTTATATATGTATACTGTATATAGTGTTTGTATTATATATAATATAATTCAGAAGCTCTACAAAGAATCTGTGTGTCTATGTTGTATCACAGGTATCTGGTCATCGCCTGGCCGCTGTGGTACCGCTTCAGGCGAACCATCAAGAACTCTGTAGTGGTCTGTGTCGTGGTCTGGAGCCTTTCTCTTTTCTTTTTTGTATTTGTCCATTTCTTGCAATATTCTCAGGTGACACATACCATCTTTGCCGTCTTTCTCCTCCTTCCCTTCCCTCTGTTCATATTCTTCCTGCGTGGGACCGTTAAAGCCCTTTCTGCAGCCATTAGTGTCCCTGCTGATGAAAAACGCCGAATTGTTGCAGTTTTGATTCTGGTTCTGCTTATTTACACAGTGTTGTTCCTGCCCACCATCATTTTGTTACTTGTAAAAGAGATCAAATATAACGATGCCCTCAGATGTGTGTCTTTCATTTTATTAAAGTTGAGTCCTCTTGCAGACGTGTTCCTGTATGTTTTCAGTAGGAAAGGAGCTGTAGACAAGCTGTTGGCCTCTCTGTGTCGTTGCAGGATGGACAGCAATGATAGAAACAGACCAACAGAATGAATGATGACAACTTATACACAGTCGCTCCATGTAGGCAGAGAAAGAGAGAAAAACAGAAGAAGAAATGGAGGAAATAGAGACAAGACAGATACTGTCATCTTCTCACATGATTTCCTACAAGACATCTAACTGTAGGTTCACTTGCTGCGGTGCACTGTGAAAGCTTCAAGACATGTACATAAAATGTTCTATAAAAAGTTCATGTATATCATTATTACACTTTAATCACAAAAACAAACCTTATATTATTTGAAGATAATCAGCAGCATGATCACTCTGCCAATATAACCACATCTCTCTCATTCTTAGATCTTTATTTTGTCTATTTTCTGCAAGTTTTACTTTTTCCTGCTTATAAATAGTGTCTATCCACAACTGTATTTTTTTTGTGGTTTGTTGTAAATTATTTTTTAATAAAGTAAATCCTGCTTGTTTAGCTTTATTCAATGTCAAAATTCTGTTTACATCACATATAGTGAATTGTTTTGCAGGTCTCACAGTTTGAACTAATATAAACTAACTAATGGCGTCACTACACTCAGAGCAGAGTATGATCACTATCATCTGAACTTTCTGTCAGATGGTTGAGCACCCACTCATCCCCCACACCTTTCTGACAACATTTCTCCTTAAATCTTACTTGCAGGTTTTATTCAAGGAACCATTAGAAAACAAGATTTGGTTTTACGTTTTCAATAAAAAATAACAGGAAGACACGGACACAGAGAAGTCATGGATCTACATAGTTATAGCAAGAATGACACAACAATGAATTCTATACAGATTTTAGCATTTGTATATGTAAATAAAGTATATATAAATATATACATACATATAAACACACATATATATAATCACATTATATGAAATTATTAATTTTCTCAAAATTCTATTAAAAAACTCAATTAAAACCTCAAAAATAAAGGTAAATCAATTTCTGCTTTTCCAAACATACATTCAGTAATAAAAACTGTCCTCAGGGACAACAACCTATCTGACGAATTACGTGTCTTATTCAGGGCACCATAGAAAATAAGCTTCGGTTTAACTCTTTTAAATCAAGTTAATGTGTACTTTCAGTGAAAATAACAGAGGAAAACATGGAAACAGTGAAGCCATGCACCTGTATAGTTTATAGAAAGGATGACACTCACAGCAATGAATAGAAAACCCTTTCTGTCTTCCTGAGAGGCAGAGATAAGATGCAGCAGAGTTTAGTTCATGAGGATCCTCCTTCATGCCATATATTACCACATTGCTGCATTAGAGATTATCAGGCTGCGTGGATGCAAACGAGAAAACAGTAGAAGAAAGGCATCAAACACATCCAGATTGTGGACCACCAGCTTTAAAAGGTAAAGTTTGTGTAACGTTACTTCTCTCAATCTATCTATAACCTAATAAAAACTATAAAGGTGTTGGTACTGTCAAGGGTTTTGAGGTAAGTAGGACCCAAATGCAGCCAAAACTTGGGGAACGGTGCAGACAGGTTTATTAACCAAAATCACAGACATGAACAGACGACGTGAACAAACCCTGAACTAAACAGACGAACCGACACAGACAAAGGGGAGCACAAGGACTATATAGACAAGGGAGGCAAGGGTGATTGAACACAGGTGAAACACATTAGGGCGGGGCAGACAATCACCACACAGAAACAGGACCAAGACAGGAAACAAAAACACTGAGACACACAAGGAACCAAATTACAAAATAAAACAGGAAGTGCACGGGGAAACAGAGCACAAGACAGGGAAGACTAAACTAGACATTAGAAACACTCAAACCAGAAATATTCAAAACAGAGAAAACTAAATCATCAAGAAAGTCCAAAAAAAACATTGGAACAATGGAACTGGACTTTAGGTGTACAGTAATCTACAGTTTTTAGTCTTTTAGCTAAAATGCTGGATCACTAAGATTTATCCTATACTATTACATATTAGCACAAGCAAACATGTAAATAATACAAATAATATTTGAGTAAGTAATAAAACATTTGAGAACAATTACTCAACTTACACAAAGCGAGCAATGCACTGTCAAAGGAAAATTCTCAATGCCAATTAAACTGTCTTGACAAAATAAAGATATTAGAGACAGCAGTTCTTAGCATGACTCATAGCTGGGGCTCAGTCTTTATCACTGGCTTGTCTATCATCTAATAGCAGACACAGCTTTGTAATAGGTCTGTCCAAAACACTTGTCTTTGTCTTTATACAGACCTGACGAACAACCCATTGCTGTCTGGAAGCGACTCAATGACTCTCCCCATAACCCAAGAGTTTCTGAGAGCAGAGTCATCCACCAGGAGAACAATGTCCCAAGGACTGAAGTTTCTTAATGGTCTTGACCGTCTTCGCCGTGTGTGAAGCTGTGGCAAGTACTCCTTAGTCCGACGTTTCCAAAATACTTTGGCAATATACTGAACCTGCCTCCATATTCGTTGAGTGTAGAAGTCATCCTGGTGAAACAATCCGGGTGGTAATGCTGGTTTGGCCTTCAGCAGTAATAGGTGATTTGGTGTGAAGGCTTTTAAGATCGTTCCGATCATTAGATGCACTTGTGATTGGTTGACTGTTTATTATGGCTTCGACTTGGCAAAGTCCAGTCTGAAGACTTTCCTCATCAAGAATTTGTTCCTTCAGAGTGGAATTTAGAGCCTTCCTCACTGATTTGATGAGCCTTTCCCAGGCTTGTCCGTGGTGAGAGCCTGTTGATGGATTAAAGGTCCATTTGATTCCACGTTGAAGAAGGTAACCTTTAATCTTTGCGTGATTCATCTCATCGATGGATGTCTTCAGCTCACGTTCTGTCCCAACAAAGTTCGTCCCATTATCTGAGCAAATCACCAACATTTGTCCTCTCCTGGCTATGAAAAAACATATGGCGTTGATACACAAGTCGATATCCAAGGAAGAAGCAACTTCAGTATGCACTGCCCGTGTGGCTAAGCAGGTAAAGATTGCTCTGGATCTTTTTATTGTGCTTCTGCCTCGTTTCACTGTAAATGGTCCAAAATAATCAATGCCATTGCTGCGCTGGCGCTGGGAATTCAATACTTTTGTTGCACTTTTAATAGCATATGGTTCCTTCCTACATGTCCTGTGGCTTCATGAATCTTGCGCAGGAGTTAGTTGGGGACGTGATGGTCTTTGGGGATTACGACAGGCTTCTTACAGTCCTCTGGCAAAGACGTAAGACTCCATCTTGAAGCACAGGATTTAGCCTAAAGAGTTCTCAGTAAGATGCATGTTTTCCTTCCACAAGAAAAGCATGTTTCTACTGTTTTATTTCCTGTTGTCTTGACTTGGACAGGAACTATTGAGAGTATACACTCGTCTTCACCGGCCCCCGTACCTTCATCACTGACCATTGCACTGGTGACTGCAGGACTACCATGATTAGCTGTATTGTCAGCGGCCTTGCTTTCCTGTTCATCTCCTTCATTGTGTCTTTTCATGTGCAGGAGTGTGGGATGCATTAAAGAACACACCTGACAGGACAGCTTCTCATTGCAGGTCTTGCTCATGTGTCCATGCCTTAAACAGCTGATGCATCGTCCTTTGCTACGTAAAAAGTCAATTTTTTCTTTGTGTGGCTTTCATTTCAGTTTTTTCTACATGCGTCTATGCAGTGTTATCCTTTACAAAACATGCATGGTCTTACCATAGCACCTTCTGAGGGACTCTTTTGCATGCTTCATTCACTGTCTTTCACTGAGTCTTTAACTCTATGGTCAGTGTGCATTGTGCTTGTGGTGAATGTTTTCTTACTTCGTTTTTCCTGTGTCTTTAACTCTGCATGCACCTTTGTAGCTGATTTAATGGATGGGCTGTCCTTCATGTCACCAAAAATAGGATGCATAACAATCTTGGCTTGTCTGTGAATAAAGTCAACAAGGTCTTTAAAGCTGATCTTTTTCCCCTGCTGTTCCTGGATGTCACACGCAATTATCCTCCATTTTTCTCTCAATTTGTAAGGTAGCCTTGTGACAATGGCCTTCATGTGCATTGCAGCATTGTTCATTTCTTCCAAGTAGCTAATGTCCATCATTGCGTTGCAGCATCCAGTCAGGAAAAGTGAGTAAGCCTTTAATGATTCTCCATCCTCAGGTTTGATGGGGGCCCAATGTAAGGCTTTGTCCATATAAGCCACAGCAAGCTTGTTTTTGTTTGCGAAATGTTCTTTCAGTAGCTGCTTGGTTTTCTTGTATCCTCTGTCAGGATCCATGCAGAGACAGCTCCTGACCAGCTCTCTGGGTTGACCACTAGTAAACTGCTCCATATAGTAGAGGCAGTCCTTAGCACTGACGGTGCGATGCTGTACTCTATGCTCAAAAGCTCTTATAAAAAGTCTGTAATCAAGCAGGTCTCTTTTAAAGGTGGGAATGTCCAATGGCGGAAAAGTAAATCATCTGTGCTGTTTCATCATTAGTTCTGAAATGTTAGCTTGCTGCTGCATAACGCTAGACAATGTCTTCACAACATTGTCCTTATTATTAGTGATCCTAGGTGGCTGCGCAGAATGACCAGGTTTGCTTGATTGTGTGTTATGAAGCTGGACTGGAACAGTCACCACACAGCTGCATTGCTCATGTCTGGCTTTTGGTGCAGGGCCTTCTATTTCCACACTTGCTTCTTGTGTTGAACTTACTGTAGACCTGCGCTCAATCTCAAACTCTTCCAACATTTTAAATTAAGCCTCAGATGCTGCTATGGCAGTATTACACGCCAAGTCTTCTTTTTTAGCCTTTAATTCAGCTTCTTGCTTCTTGTGTTGAACTTACTGTAGACCTGCGCTCAATCTCAAACTCTTCCAACATTTTAAATTAAGCGTCAGATGCTGCTATGGCAGTATTACACTCCAAGTCTTCTTTTTTAGCCTTTAATTCAGCTTCCTGCCGTTCCAATGCTTGTTTTTGTTTTAATGCAGCAGCCTTGGCCAGCAATGCAACTCTTTCCATAAGGCGGATTGATGAAGTTGAGGATGATACA